GGGGGGTGGACTGGCGGGGGGCTGCTCAGATCTGGGGTCGGTTGGGAGATGGAGGTCTGTTTGGGTCTTAACTCTCAGCTCCTCCTGGCCCAAGGGGTTCCTTCCCTAGGGGGCGTTCCCATGACTGTGGACGGCGTCGTATTTGCGTTTGCTCGGTGTTAGGTGCCTGGGGATGGCCGCTCGCATGAAAAGGGTGGTGGCCTTTGAGCCAGGTGACCGGGGGACAGGAAAACCTGGACCTGGTTAATGATTCGCCCTGTTCCTGGAGTGGGGTGGGTGGGGCAAGAGGAGGCTGGTGCAGGAGGGGACGCCTCAAAATGCTCAAGAGGGCCAAACTAGTTCCCCAGCCACTCCAGGAATGTGTGGCCTGCGGGTGGGGCTGGGCACAGGAGGGCAGGGCTGAAGGGACACAGTCCTGAGCCAGTTGTTGTGGCAAGCTAAGAGAAGAGGAAGGCCAGGCCATGATGGAGGCAGGCCTGTCCTGATCTTAGGGTCTCTGTCCTTCCCACAGGACAGGGATGGTCTTGGAGCTTGTGGTCATGGAGCTGAAGGTGTGGGTGGATGGCATCCAGCGGGTGGTCTGTGGGGTCTCAGAACAGACCACCTGCCAAGAAGTGGTCATCGCGCTAGCCCAAGCTATAGGTGAGTTCCCTGGGGACAGAGAAGCTAAACCGGTGGGGCCGTAGTCCAGCCCCATCTTCCCTTCCAAGGAGGGTGGGGTTGACTCCACCCTTTTGCTCTAGTCCTCAAGCCAAGTGGATAGAGAGGGGAGATATAGGCTGACCCTGTCTTTCCCCCCACAGGCCAGACAGGCCGCTTTGTTCTTGTGCAGCGCCTTAGGGAGAAGGAGCGGCAGCTGCTGCCACAGGAGTGTCCAGTGGGAGCCCAAGCCACCTGTGGACAGTTTGCCAGTGATGTCCAGTTTGTCCTGAGGCGGACAGGGCCCAGCCTGTCTGGAAGGCCCTCCTCAGACAACTGTCCACCCCCAGAACGATGCCCAGTTCGGGCCAGCCTGCCCCCCAAACCATGGGCAGCACCAGGCCGTGAGCCACACAAAGCACTGACCTTCAACCCAGGATGTCCCAAACTGGTCCCCAGCTCCTCAATCCCTGAGTCTACAACCCTGGTAGGACCCACACCAGACTGCTTTGCAGACCTGCAGGGCCTAGAACTCAGGATACAAAGGAATGCTGAGGAGCTGGGCCATGAGGCCTTCTGGGAGCAGGAGCTCCGACGAGAACAAGCCAGGGAGCGTGAGGGACAGGCACGCCTGCAAGCGCTGAGTGCAGCTACTGCTGAGCATGCTGCCCGGCTGGAGGCCCTAGATGCCCAAGCCTGTGCCCTGGAGGCAGAGCTTCGGCTGGCTGCTGAGGCCCCTGGCCCTCCTTCAGCTACAGCATCTGCTACTGAGCGTCTACGCCAGGACCTGGCCATCCAGGAGCGGCATAGTATGGAGATGCAAGGCACCTTGGCCCTGGTGAGCCGGGCTCTGGAGGCTGCTGAGCATGCTCTGCAGGTGAGCCCAGGAGACCTACGCCCCTGTCAACTCCCTGCCTGCTACACAGCCAGTTTGTCAGCACTCCACCTGCTGCACAGGCACTTTGGGGTTTGATATAGAATCAGACCAGGGAGCATGTTGTCTGTGGGAAAGAAGGTCATCGCCTTGTTCCTGAAGGTCCTGTGTGCCCCCAGGCTCAGGCTCAGGAACTGGAGGAGCTGAACAGGGAACTCCGTCAGTGCAACCTGCAACAGTTCATCCAGCAGACAGGTGCTGCAGTGCCACCACCTCCACAGCTGGACAGAACCATCCCGAGCCCACAGGTCAGAGTAGTTCTGGGAAGAGGTGATGGTCAGGCGGGGGCCACCCTAGTTCTCAACTGACCTGTTTTCTCCACAGGACCTTCCAACCAGAGATGAGCCCCTCCAGGGAGTCCCCCAGAGCCATATTCTAGTGTCCAGCCTGAGTCCAGAGGGTATGTTTCTCTCCCTACCCCTATCCCCAATCCATGGGAAGGGACCAGCTCTGGTATCAGCCCATTCAGCCTGTGTCTTTCTCACAGTTCCCCCCATGAGGCAGAGCTCCTGGAGGTAGCACTTCCTGCTCAAGTAGGGAACACTGAATACAGATGAGCCAGCACAGCTGGGATGAGCCACCTGGACAATGGGCGAGCATGATCACGGAATTCTTTCCCTAAAGTGGGAAAAGCTATGATGTCCTGGGGTTTCTGCTTCAGGGGGCAGGAGTGCTAGTGGACATGTTGTCCTAGTCTTTTTCAAGTCTCCCAAGTCCCCTGAAGAAGCAATGGGCAAAGCTCAGAACTTACCAGGCCCCAAAGGCCACTACTTACTGGAGGAGAGAGAAGTGTGGACAGTACATTCATCCTGTGGAGGGGGGTGTGCGCCTGCTATTGACTCCACTGAATATATGATGCCTTCTTGCCCTGACAAACCTCAATAAACTACCTTTCGAAGGTGCTTAAGTATCCACTGGGCAGTGTCTGCGGTTCAGAACTTGAGGTCCACATGGCAACTACTGCTGGGTTCCTGAGAAAGTGATGTTTTTAGAGGCCAATACTCAGTAGGGTCCAAAGCTGGGGCTCCCAGGGCCCTATGTTCTGATGTTCCTAGGGACATTTATTTGTAACCAACCCCTAGCCTGGTGAGGCCTGCTAGCTCAACCCTGGCCTGGGTTTTTATCTGGACCCTTCTTCCCTTGCTTTCCTTGTTTGGCCTGTGTACCACTGGCACCAGGAACTGAGGATGCCAGGACAAGCTAGACCCGCCCGTCAGGTTTGCTGAGAACTTGTGGGGGCGAGTCCTGGACTCCTGGGTCAAGTCTGTGACTTCTGGGTTGGCTAGGCCCAGGGAATCTTCCCTAGAAATCTTTGCCAGCCCCAAGGTAGATATGGGCATTGGATGGTAGGGCTGTCCCTTTCCTCTTAGAGTGGGTGTGAAGCCTGTTTATGAGCCTCTAGCTTTGACATTGGGGCAGGGATGCTTCCACAGCCCAGCCCAACTAGTGCTCTAGTTCTTGAACAGATAGTGACCGCTTCTAAAATCCTGGTTATGCAGGCAAGCTACAAGTTCTGAGCACCTGGGGCTGGAAATCTTTGTGAGGATCAAAACTATAAGAATTGGGAGATTATGAGGGACTTTTGGTTGTTTTTGAGACAGGGTTTCTCTGTGTAATAGCCCTAGCTGTCCTGGAACTCACTTTGTAGACCAGGTAGACCAGGGTGGCCTAGAACTCAAAGAAATCCACCTGCCTCTGCCTTCCGGGTGCTGGGGTTAAAGATATGCATCATCACCACCCGGCAGATGATGAGAGTCTTTACATCATATTTAAGAGGACATTTGGAATGCGCTCGGCTTTCTTTCTGGCTGGCTCCTGAGCAAGGTTTAGTGTTCCCTATTTTTTCTGAGGCAGACTGAAAGGGGACATGGAAATCCTGTGCTGGAGGAATAAGGAAGACCATATTCTTTTTTTCTTTTTGGTTCTTCAAGACAAGGTTTCTTTGTATATAGTATTGGTTGTCCTGTAACTCACTTTGTAGACCAGGCTGGCCTCAGACTCGGAGATCTGCCCACCTCTTCCTCCCAAGTGCTGGGATTAAAGGTGTGCACCACCACTGCGCAACAGACCATATTCTTGCCTGAAACAGGAAACAAGGAAGAGGAGAGGCCAGGCGGTAGAGGGAGGGAGGCTCCTGATTGGTGTCAGCAGGCCAGAACTTCCAGCAACTATTCCTGTCTGCATTCCAGCCTGAGCCTGCTGCAGCCTAGACCTGCCTGACCCGTGGCCCCAGGCAGGCAGGGTCAAGCAAAAGGTCACATATGATGGATCCTAGAATGCAAAAGCCACTAGGGTTGTGTCCTTGGTGCGAAGATGGGTCTGAGGAACCTGCTCCCCCCACTTAAAGCCCTCGGGAGAGTTGAATAAACCTCTTGGCATGGTTCATCTCCCAGGCTAAGCACATAGTCCAGTGGATGCAGTGCCAGGTTCCACCCAGAGACCACCCCACACAGGAAGCTAGGCAGGGGTAAGCTACATCCTCTTCTTTTGAGTCTTTCTACATGTTCCCTGTGTCCTGAGGAGCACCTGTTTCTCCTGGAGGCCCCTGCCTAGGCCAGGTCCAGTGTGTAGTATACTATTGCTGGTAGCACTAAAGAAGCTGCCAAGCAGCCGAGCGTTGGTGGCACATGCCATTTTTTCCTGACACTTGGGAGGTAGAGGCAGGTGGATCTCTGGGAGTTCGAGGCCAGCCTGTTCTACAGAGCGAGTTCCAGGACAGCCTCCAAAACAATACAGAGAAACCCTGTCTCGAAAAACCAAAAAAAAAAAGCCACCAAGCCTCCTCCTTCAGATGGCCACTATGCTTTGCTTTGCAGGGGAAGGATGGTAGAGATCTGCTTCTTGGTGGCTGTTTCAAGTGGACAGACTCCCATACTCCCAGCAGTTGCTAGATTGCTTTGAACCACCAAAAACAAAACAAAACAAAAAACTCTTGAGTTAATGGAAAGTTTACTTTGGAACTTGCAGCTTTACTTTAGAAACAATAGTGTGAAGTTTGCTGAAGTGAGGAACAGACAAGCTGCCCACAAATGTCTGGTCCCTGACAGGGCAGGACCTGGCCAAGTGAGCTATCCTATATAGGTGAAGTTAGGACATCACCCATGTTAGCTATCAGTGTGGGGTAGGCAAGTCTAATCTGGGCAATCCAACCAGAAGTCAGGGCCAGACTCTGCTAGGTCTCAGAGGCCGTGTTCATTTCAGTGCAGAAGTGGAAGAAGCCTAGTTCAGAGACTCTCCCCAGTAAGTAGCTGTCCAGCAATGAGAGTCAGCTCTGCAGTTTCTCAATCCAGAGGCCACATAAACCTCCCCTCATCTGCAGAACACTCTGAGTTTGATACCACTGTGATGACAAAACAGGCCAGTGTCAGTCTGGAGAGGCCTGGACTAAGGGAAGGCCCTCCATCTCCAGGGACCAGACCCACTACAAATGTCCTAGTCCTGTAGCCTATAGTTTCCCTAGAGATCCTTTTCCACTTTCAGATGGACTTGAGAACACCTGACAGGAGTGTCCCTCGGAGAGGCTTGTCCCAGAGTCCACAAAGACTCCCTCATCACTGAAGTGACAGAAACAGGCAGGGGCACTCAGACTGCTGCTGTCTCCCTGTAGGAAGTTCCAGAGTTGCCCCTTGGGAGGTGGGTCCTGTAGGCTCTGGTTCTGTTGGCTTAAGTTCACACCTGTGCATACCCAGAGATGCCTTGGATGCCTTCGACGGTGGCTGTTCAGGGAACTAAACAGCCTTGAACCCTAATACACATAAGAAGAAAGTTTCCTCCAAGAGGGTACCTGACCCAACCTCAGTCCCACAAGTGAAGGGCAGAGAAGCCCCCAGTGTACCCCCAGCCCAAGCTATCTTAGCTGGGCTCCCACATGCAGGCCTGTCTGTAGGTGCAATCCTCTCCTAGTGGCCTGCTACCCTGCCTCTCCTCCCCACAGTGGCGCCTGCCTGCCTGATGCCAACCCGGGTCACTGAAGGGCCAGGGATTCGCGCTGCCCAGGGACAGATCAGCCGCTGTCACACGCACAGTGGGTCCGGAGCAACGCAGTGTGCGGTGGGCAGTGGCTGTCCTGAGCCTGGAAGGACTGCCCTGGCTGGCGGGCAAGTGGAGGGGGTCGCACTCTCCGTCCCCGCCCCCGTCCCCTCCAACTTGGACAACAGAGCCACTCCTCTCTTGTCCCGCCCAATCCCCATAGCCCCTGAAAAGGGCAGCCTCGAAGTGCTCCCCCATCCGCCAACCTTGTAACCCTCCTGTTTCACCTGTGACCCCGGCACCGGGCCATGGCCAGCTCTTGAATCAACTTCAGTGGCGGCAGTGGCCACTCTCACACCCAAGGCGGGCCCCAATCGGGCCCATTTACCCCGCCCCGTATGCAAAGTATCTGTCTCGCAGCCAATGACAGGTCGAGTAGGGCCCACCCTGCAGGACTGTAGCCAGTGAACACGAGGTGGAGGCAGCACGCCCCGCCCACCGCCGCGCAACCCTTCGCGGGCGAGGCCGGCGCGTTCCTTTCTGCACGTCGGCTTGGGGAGGGGCCGCCACCTGCTGGGCGTGGCTTGCGGGACGGCCTCGCCGGACCGTGGCTGATCGTTGGTATAGTCCAAGGCATATCCCCTTCCCTCGAGCGGTGGTACCGTCTGGGCTCACTGCATCTGGGCCTGGAGTTGGGACCTCCCGCCTGACAGTGGAGTGCTTCACCCGCCCAGCGCGAGGAGACAGCTGGACAAGGCGGGACCTTTGAGGCAAAGAAGCTGCCCCGCCTCCCAGCCTAATGTTAGGGCGGACCGGTTGTCCCCCGCCCAGTCTAAAGACCGCCCCTCTTGGGGAACTCCTAACACTCCAGGCGCACGTAGTCCTGGCAGTGACCCAGGAGTGGCCTGGGTGGCCAGGGACGGCATGCCCTCTGGAGGCACGTATACCCCTGCCTTTCTCCAGCGCCTGTGTAATCTAAAGATATGTGGGTCCGTCTGGCTGTGAGGAGGGGGCCGTTTGTCTGACTTGCCTTTGCCGCCACCTAAGCGACCGACTCTGGAGGGAGAGTCCAGCAGAGTGCTGTGCTCTCAGAGGGCTTGCCCCTATGCATTGATAGGCGGGAGTGCCTGCTAGGGCAACTGTCACCTTCCTTAGGATAAGCAGGGCCAGTTATTGGACCCCTAGGAGGAGAACCAAAGGGATGGGATGGGGGTACAGCCAAAAGAGACTTACTTCCCTCCCTACTCACCTCCCTCACCCAGGTTGTTTCTGCGGGGAATCATGGGGCATTTAAAGGCTCTTAATCACTCAAGAAGATGCAGCAGCTGTTCTATTGCTTGTGAGGCAAAGGTCCTTTTTCCGCTTTCCTGTCTACTTCAACCATCCTCAGGGATATCCTCCCAAGGGAACAGCCTTTCCTTGCTCTAGGCCACTCCAAATGGCCCCTTTGTCCATCACAGATACCCCGATCCTTGGCTCAGGGGCCAGTCTCATCTCAGCCTCCTGTCCTTCAACTCTATGTCCTGCTTTGGTCCCCTCTGTTTCTTTGGCCTCCCTGTATCCTGAATCTCATAAAGTCTGGGCTGGAGCCTGCCAGCTGCCAGAAACCCAGCCTAGGTATCTTAAGTACTGAGGCATTATCAGGGCGGTATCTGGCCCAGCCTATACCTCAAGGGAACAAATTCAAATGTAGAAACTTGTGCATTGTGGCCATTTAGGGATGTAGCACCGAGAAGCCAGGAGCATCGGACTCAGTTTCCACAGAGGATCAGAAATTGAAGGATCAAGCTGAAAGTGGTGATGCACCCGTTAACCCGGCAGAAATTATTCCTCTGTAACCTTGATTAGAGGCAGAAGCAGAAGGATATGATGCAAGTTTCAAGCCAGCCTCTGGGGTGGAGGGTATTTGAAGGGTCAGCAAGGCTTGGACTGTTATTCTTTTGTTTAAAAAGAATAGAAATGCTGAGACATGACACATATTGACTATAAGTTTATTATAAGGACCAGCAGAATGGGGAGACTAAGAAGAGGAACAGGGGTAAATGGCTGACCGACATGGCCGGTCGCCATAGACAGAGCTAGCACATAGGTGGGAGACAGAGTGGAGAGAAAGCTGAGAGGAAACAGAGCGGGGAAACAGAGCGTAAATGTGTAGGGACCTGTCTTTTAAAGGGGTCCTCTGTACCTGCATGCAGACTTAGTTCCCATGGAACCTTGGGCTGACCAGGGTACTGCCTGTTCCACCAGGTAACAGGGGCAGGCCAGCATAATGCCTGAACCTTTCATGGACCATGTGGATCCTGAAAGAATTCTTGATAATTATTGGGAATCCTGAGAAGGTTCCTGTCTTGAGAGCATGACCTAGGTTCAGAGGACAGATGTCAGGGACTAGGGAGAGACAGGAGAAGCTTGGTTCCTCCTGGCTTTGCCAGGATGTTTCCCACATGTGCCTCAGAACTTCCCATCTGAAATGTATACCTTATCATCCTGTGTGGTGGGTGTATGGTACCATCCAAAATATCTGTCCAAATCCTATTTACAGCTTATAATTGTGACTGAAAAAGAAGTGTGTGTGGAGGGTGTGGGGGTGTCTTTTTACTATATTTTAGACAGGGTTTTATTGAACGTGGCTGGCCTAGAACTCACCTTGTAGATTAGCTGTCCTCAGTCTCACAGAGTTCACTTGCTTTTGACTCCAAGCTGCTGGATTAAGTGTGTACCAGGGGCTGGAGAGAAGGCTCAGTGGTTGACAGCACTCGCTCCTCTTCCAGAGGATCTGGGTTTAATTCTAGCACTCACATAGTGGCTCAGACTTGTCTGCAACTCCAAGTCTAGGAGATGCAATACTCTCTTCTGGCTTCTGTGGTATATGTTTGTGGTAAACAAACTGGAAGGCTATATACACAAAGTATACTTCAGCATGTAAAGCCAAGAATGGATTTTTGAGACCATTATGAGTTAACTGGGATGCCCTAAATCCAATGAAAGTGTCCTTATAAATGACAATAGAGAGAACACAGACACAAAGGAAAAGTCCAGGAGGAAGTGTGATGATGCCAAAGCCCAGGGAAGCCTAGTGCCCCCAACTGAGAAAGGCAGTAAAGATTCTCCCCATACCTATGTAGGAAGCAAGAGCCTGGCCTGGCTTGAACTCTGACATCTGGCACGCAGAACTATGAAAGAATAAATTCTGTTTTTTTTGTTTTGTTTTGTTTTGTTTTTTTGAGACAGGGTTTCTCCGTGGCTTTGGAGGCTGTCCTGGAACTAGCTCTTGTAAACCAGGCTGGTCTCGAACTCACAGAGACCCACCTGCCTCTGCCTTCTGAGTGCTGGGATCAAAGGCATGCGCCACCAACGCCCAGCTAAATTCTGTTTCATTTGGCCACCCAATTTGTAGTCAAACAACACAACAGACTTGCCTGGTCTGAGGAGGCAGCTCCTTGTCTCTTCATCAATTTTGGAAGTTTCAAATTCCTTGTTCTTACCCAAATCACATTCACTACTGCCCTTGCTTCAGCTTCCTTTGGGAATCCCTTAACTGTCCAGCATTCTTGTTGCCAGGGATCAAGTAGGCAGAAGGCAATGCCTAGGCTAAAGTGTTCACCCAGCTCTGTGTTGCTTGGTATTCAGATGACAGGGGAAAGGGCTAAACCCTTTGAGAGAGGCTGATTTGGACTGTACAGAACAGTGGCAACACACAGTCTAGTTATACCTTCTATGAACATACATGCCATTTTTTTTTTTTTTTTTTTCGAGACAGGGTTTCTCTGTGGCTTTGCAGGCTGTCCTGGAACTACCACTGCCCGGTCATACATGCCATTTCTATGTCTATTCATGCATGAGATAGAAGCAGTGGGTGCCAGCATACATTAAGAATCCAGTAGGCGCCGGGCAGTGGTGGCGCACGCCTTTGATCCCAGCACTTGGGAGGCAGAGGCAGGTGGATCTCTGTGAGTTCGAGACCAGCCTGGTCTACAAGAGCTAGTTCCAGGACAGTGTCCAAAGCCACAGAGAAACCCTGTCTCGAAAAAAAAACAAAAACAACAACAAAAAAAAATCAGGCACTTCCTGGTACAGGTCTAGGTGAGCAAGTTGCATTCCTATGTGTACACTATCAGGAGCATGTGAGAAGTGGCCAGTAGACAACTCAAAGCAACTCATAGCCACTAGGTCGGTCATAACATTGATGTGAGGGTGGGATATGTATGACAGTCCACTATGTGTATGGGGACAGGTGAGAAGTTTTATATACCAGGGTTTTTTTTTTGGGGGGGGTAATGTATCAGCAGGTAAGATGTAGAGATATTTGTCTATGTTCTCAAGAGGTACTACTACTTGTCATGATTGGTGCATACCTGTGTTACCTGTACTTTATAGGAAGAGGCAGAAGATTCGGAGTTCAAAGCTAGCCTTGGCTACATAGCAAGTTTAAGGCCAGCTTGAACTACATGAGGCCTTGTGTCAGAACATATGAATAAGGTGCTATGTAGGATGGGTTTGGCCCAGTTTGATTAGCTAGCATCTCTATCTTACAGCAAAGGACACTAAGACACAAAGAGGGTAAGAAGTTCACCCAAAGCTACACAATAGATAGCCAAATGTACCTGAGTCCAGATCCCCTTCCATCCAGATACAACAGGATGGCCCACAGAAAGGAGAGGATTTATTCCAAGAGAACCCTCTCTGACACCATCCTTTCTTCCTTGTACTCTGCCAGTAGCATTTTTTTTTTTCGAGACAGAGTTTGTCTGTGGCTTTGGAGGCTGTCCTGGAACTAGCTCTTGTAGACCAGGCTGGTCTTAAACTCACAGAGATCCACCTGTCTCTGCCTCTTGAGTGCTGGGATTAAAGGCGTGCACCACCACTGCCCAGCGCAGTCTTTTATTCATTACTTTTAGCTGAGTATAGTTGTGGGAGGGGGTATGTGGGTATATACACATGAGTGCAGGTGCCCTCAGAAACCAGAGGCATTGAATCTCTTGAAGCTGGAGTTGAAGAGGGATGTGAGCCACCATGTGGGTGCTGGGAATTGAACTCTGGGCCTTCTGGAAGAGCAGCAAGTACTCTTAACCACTGAGCCATCTCTCCAGCCCCAGACAGTTTCTTCCATTTTAAACTTATTTGAATCATCTCTTCTCAACTACTTCTATTTATTTCTCCCTTCCCACCAAATCTACTGCAAACAGTTACTGCACTGGCTTTCCCTGTTTGGTCTTCCTAGTTTCTCTATAGTTCCTCCAGACAGCCTCTGCCCCTTGATAGGGCTGATATTATCAGAGCCTCAGTAGCTCCTACCTTACCATCTTTTTTGAGTTAGAGTTTCATGTAGCCTAGGATGTTTTTAACTCCCTATGTATCCAGGGATGACCTTGGATTTCTGATACTTCT